CTGATTTGTGGAGGAGTCTACACTGTTCCATAATGTGAAAGATGCCAGGTCCTCTAGCTGGACTGGGCCAGAATGGAGATTGCTCATGGCAAACCCCTCTTAGAGACAATCTGATGGTAGTCGATGTTCTGATGTAAATCACCACCCCTCCCCTGCCTGCTGCTACATGCTGGCTCCTGGAAGAGCCATTGTCCTCACTCAGTCAAGCATGTAAAGCACTTGTACCTGGGACTGGTCACTTACCAGTACTAGTGACTATCCTGTCTTGTTCTGTATAGTTCTCCAGCACATGCCAAGCAGTGCAGGGATCCATTTAATCTCGCCAAACGTGCCACATATGTAAGTTTCCCTTAATAAACGCTTAATTATCAGAGTGGAGTGGCAGCTTCATTCTCTGATCTTACTCTGCCCTGCACTTAAGGAGGTAGATTTTCAGGCCGGGACTTTTCCCTAGGTCTGTATGTATTGATGTGGAAGGAATACTTTTTTTCTAAACATTCTTATTTTCATGAAAGTGCAAAGTGAATATATATAGAACATAATTTAATGAAAAAATGTACAAAAATCCATTGTTAAAGTTTTAGAAAATGGCTTGAAAAAAGGAAACAATTCACTTTTCAATTGCAATAAACTTAACAAAGGATGTGAAGAACTTATACAGAAAACAGAAAAAAATGGAAAGATATACTACCTGTTCATGGAATGGAAGAAACAACATACCCTGTTTCCCCGAAAATAAGAAAGTGTCTAATATTAATTTTTGCTCCCAAAGATGCGCTAGGTCTTATTTTCAGGGGATGTCTGTTTTTTTCCATGAAGAAGAATACGGTACACATTTATTGTTAAATGAAAATAAAGGAAATTTATTACCTGTATACAGTACGGTAGTACGGTAGTTGTCAACACAAACCAGACAAACTGTGAATCCTGCAGTATCTATCAAGAATTTACTCACTTATTCAATGACAATCATGTGATCATCTTCTGGAACATCATCATAACAATCCAATTCCTGAATTTCCTGATGAATTTCTTGTGACTCCATTTCTTTCAGAATCAGTGGGCCAAATCTCTCATGTTTAGCCTAGGAGGGGCCTTATTTTTGGGGGGGATGCCTTATATTTCACTCAGAAGGAAACCTGTAAGTAGGTCTTATTTTCAGAGGATGTCTTATTTTCGGGGAAACACAGTAGTTATAATGGCCATGTTACTCAAAACTATATACAGATTCAATGCAATTTCTATCAAAATTCCAATGACATTTTGTAAAGATATAGAACAACAACAACAAAATCTCCAGATTTGTATGGAACCACAAAAGATCCTAAATAACCAAAGCAATCCTAAGAAAAAAGTCAGAGGTATCACACTCCCTAACTTCAGATTATATTACAAATCAACAATAAAAATAACATGGTATTGGCAGAAAAACAGACATTCTAGAAATCTTTAAGGAATGAAGACTGACAAACTTGAAAATATTTATACAGAAAGATAATATGTACCCCTATGTTCATTGCAGCATTTATTCACAGTGGCCAATAATGGAAATAGCTGAAGTGTCTTTGATAGATGCCTGGACAAAGATGTGGTACATGTATACAGTAGAATACTAAGCCATAAGATGAGATATTGCTATTTAGGACAACATGGATGGATATTGGGAATATTATGCTAAGCAAAGTAAGTCAGATCGAAAAAGTCAAGGACCATATGATTTTACTCACATGTGATACAAAACTGAAAGCAACATGTGAAGAACAAGATAAACAAATGAAAACTCAGACACAGACACAGAGACAACAGTATGATGGTTACCAGAGGAAAAGGAGGGTGGAGGGTGTAAAGGGTAAAAGGGGTCAAATATATGATGACAAAGGAGATCTGACTTTGGGTGATAAACATATAATACAATGTGATATACAGATGATGCATTATAGAATTGTGCACTTGGAACTTATATAATTTGTTAACTAATATTGCCCCAATTAATTTAATAAATGACATGGTTATGGATTTGATTACAGTGCAATTAACATGGAATCCAGTCCTTTCTGCAAAACACAATATCCCTAAATAACTAATTATAGTTATAAACGAAAGCACATCAGAATTTATAGACTCTTGGAGATTTTACACCTATTTTAATAATTTGTATATGTAAATAGAATATTGCTATTATTTCTTTATTTGACAGTTTCCCATGTACCTTCAGTATAACATTTTCCTTCAAAAGAGAAAACAAATTCTTAAGGCATTCCTAATGGAATGACCTAAAGGGACTACTGGAATGACTTAAAGCCAATTCTAGATGTCCAAAATTAAAATACCCAAGGATGAGGAGGGAGGTTAATCAGTTAATAGAACTGAGGGCAACCACTGATCTACTTTCTGTTATTACAGATTAATTTTAATTAATACACGAGGATAGAGAAGGAAGATTTATCAATTAATAGAAAGACTGCTCATATTCCTAAATGTATGTTGAAGCTATGAATCAACTCCTAGGTGGCTATTTTATCTCTTTTAAAAAGACAGCCCACCACCAGATAACTTGGCATGCTGCTTTATGCATAAACTCTCTGGACTGTTGTCCACAACCAATCCAAAAGCAATATCTTCCTTTTGGATAATACACCTATTCCCAAACTAGGCATGAATCAGACCACTACTACCTCTGCACCTTTATTTTTTCATCCCCAAAACCACTGCATAAAGGAGCCCTATCAATGCCAGGCCAACCAGCATCTCTGTCCTTCCTACCTTGCTCTATTGCTGATGGTTTAGACGGTATGTCCCAGCACCTGGTCCCTTTTCTGGTTAGCATATCGCTCAATAAACCCTTTCTTTCAGAAAAACTTTTGGCCTGGAAGGTTATTGTTTAACAAGTATATCAGTAGTTTCTTTTTATTACTGAGTAGTAGTCCATTGATAGGGCTCCTTTATTGTAGGGACATACCACAATTGGTTTATCTGGTCACCTGTTGATGGATACCTAGGTTGTTGCCAGTTTTTTTTTCTTATTAAAAATAAAGCTGCTATATTATGGTAATATATATTTAACTTTCAAAGAAATTGCCAAACAGTTTCCAATGTAGTTGTACCATTTTACACTCTTACCAGCGAAATGAGAGTTCTAGTTACTCCGTGTCTTAGCCCACATTTGGTATCTCCAGCATTTTAAATTTTAGCCACTCTAGTGGGTATATAGTGACCTGTGGTTTTAATCTGCATTTTCTTGACATCTAATGATGTTTAAAAATTTTATACACACACACATAGAGAAATATCTCCTCCCAAATTGCAACAGACTTTAATAGTCTCTAGGGAATACTTTTTATTATTATTATATTTTATTGATTTTGTACAGAGAGGAAGGGAGAGAGATAGAGAGTTAGAAACATCGATGAGAGAGTCATCGATCAGCTGCCTCTTGCACACTCCCTACTGGGGATATGCCCGCAACCAAGGTACATGCCCTTGACCGGAATCGAACCCGGGACTTTTCAGTCCCCAAGCCGACGCTCTATCCATTGAGCCAAACCGGTCCCGGCTCTAGGGAATATTTTTATTATGACATTTATTTCTGTATTTCCATACTAGATTATTTTACAGAGGAAAACTATATAAATCTAACATTATATGCCATGAGGGAGAGAGGGGTGGAAATCAATTTATGGAACTAAGTCCAACTGCCAGGAAATACATCACTGTGCTACAGTATTTACATGAACATCCACCAAACAAGCTCCCAGCTGCCAGATGGAACTATAACGCTGCCACCTCTACTGCTGCCATCTGGTAATGTTAAATAAAAAAGAAACTACAGCCCAAACCTGTTTGGCTAAGTGGATAGTGTTGGCCTGTACTCAAGGGTCCCAGGTTCGATTCCCATCAAGGGCACATCCCCAGTAGGGAGTGTGCAGGAGGCAGCTGATCGGTGTTTCTCATCATGTTTCTAACTCTCTATCCATCTCCCTTCCTCTCTGTAAAAAAAAAAAAAAAAAAAAAAAAAATCAATAAAATATATTTTTAAAAAAAGATACTACAGGACTATACTATACTGTTCTTGATCAGGAAAAGTCAAATTTCTGATTCAACTGTGTCTTATGCACACTTCTTTGCAACGACCGAAGGCACGCCACCTGTTTTTGCTCTTTAGTTTTAATTACTTTTAAAGAAGTTTCATTATAGAAATATCAAACAGCACACTATCTTACTGTTCCCCCTCTACCTCCATTCAGAGAGGATGCGCTGCGAAGTATCCTCCCGTCTCTAATTGTTGCAAGACCTTTGGCAAGTTACCTTGGAACTTTACAGATATATCTTGAGGATAACCCAACTTGTTTCCCTAACTTAAATGTCAAGACGGAAATAACAGCGCGCAGCATCTTTTAATCTCTTACTGCACAATTTCAAGATATTCGCTGGGTTGTGCAATAATTTCCATCCGCGTCCTCACAAATATAAGCTTCCCGTTTGGTCTCCCTTCCTCGCCCAAGGAGCTACCAGACCACACGCTGGCAGACGTGGAGACCTGGCGGGACAGGGAGGAAGAGCCAGCAGCTCCGTCCGGCCGGTCCATTTGCAGGTTTCTCTCCCCGGATCGCTCTTACACGGGGTGCTCCGCCCGCCCCTTGGCCTATCGATTGCATTGATTTATCGATTCTCCCCCAGTTCATTCTCCCAGGGGGTGGTCTCCCACCCACCCACCCACCCACCCCCGATCGATACTACGAAAATCTCGCCAGCAGCCCAGTGCCCACGGTGCCAGCACGTCCCCGCCCGGGCCCCGCGGGGCTGCACTTGCCCAGGTCCCACTCCGTCCACCGGCTGGACCCGGCCTCACGGTCCACGCCCGCCCCCGGGGCCCACCAGCCGGCTGCCCTGCCCTCGCGACCCCGCCCGCCCACCCGCCCCTCGGCCGAAGCAGCTCTGGCCCCACACACCGAGGGCGCGGGGACTCGGGCCGCCCCCGCTCCGATCGCTCCGCAGCTCACCGGCCTCCGCCTGCGGGGCGCCCTGCAGGAGGGGTGTACTGTCCGAGGCCTGCTCACCATCCGGGGACTGGCCGGGGACCGGAGACCTCATGGCGTCTCCGGGGAGCGGGCGGCCGATCTGCCGGCTCCTCCGGGGAGCGATCGGGCCGGACAGCCGAACCCCGGGGGCAGCCCCCGGCCTGGCAACGCCCCTCAGCCCCGGCCAGTCGCCGCGGTCCCGCCCCGAGGCGGCCGCGCTGGCTCCGCCCCCGCCGCCATCTTGGCTGTGGCGGCTGGGCAGTGGCCGCGGAATTCTGGGAGTGGGGGATTCTGGGAGTGGGGGCTGGGGGCGGGGCCGGCGCGGCGGGCGGGCGGCCGGCGGGTTCGGAGGAACAATGCGCCTGCGCTCCGCTCGCCCCGGGAGGGCGCGGGCCACGCCTATGGGGCCGCGGAGAAGGCACTTGAGTCGCGCAGCGATGAGGAGAGGGTTTGGCTCGAATTTGGGAAGTGGATGGTGTTCACGTGACGTTCACGTAGGGACGGTAAATGGCCATGCATATTAGCAGCCCTGCTCCTGTCTATCTACCTGGGATCGCTTACTGTCCCTAAAGTAGCTTCTGAGAAGGAAAAAGTCCCTAGAAGCCTGTTGAGTCCAATGAAATGGCCGCTTTTGTATGTCAAAACAACCCAATATCTTGGCAGTGTCCTAGGATCCCGCCCATAGAATCCTCGGATCGACAAGTGTTGTGCCCGACAGGCCTGAGGTTCCCAACAGCCTCCCCTGGCATTTGCTGAGGCAGGAGGAGGAGCCAGGAAGGAGGACCCGCTTGTCTGGGGGGGAGAGGGGGGGAGGGCTGGTGGGGGTGAGGGTGGGACAGACCTGGGGCCTCTGTCCTGACCCTCAGTTATTGTGGGTAATAAAGATATGGAAGGAAAATGACAAATATATATATATAGTAAATGACCTTAGGGAGTTCATGGTGGCCAGGGAAGACAACGAGCCAGTGATTCAATGAACCAGATCAGGTTTGATGAGGTCCACGTGGAGAACAAATGGGAAGGCCACCCTTGCCCCAACAAGGAGGGCTGGGGTTTATGCATGGTTATACCCCTAACCTCCAGCTCAGTAAATGCTAGGAAAGTTATCAGGTTAAAACAACAAATCAGGCCTTGTTTCTGAGTTACTACCATATAGATCTAAAACTCTCTGAGGGAAGAGGTTCCAGCTTTTTAGGAGCCTTGTAGAGCAATGTTGCTCAACTTGATATGCATGAAATCACCTGGCAGGTCCTTTTACATTAAAGTGCAGATTCAGACTTATCAGGTCTAGTGGGACAATAAATTTTGTGTGTCAACGTGGAGGGTGTTTTTGGATTTAAAATAGCAAGTTTTGGGAAAAGAAGATTGCTTTCTTTAACTTGGGTAGACTACAATTAAAGGGGTGAGTGGAACAAGAAGGCCAACTCTGAGCAAGGGGGCATGTCCTAGCACCATGGTTGGCAAACTGCGGCTCTCCAGCCACATGTGCATCATTGGCCCCTTGAGTGTGGCTCTTCCAAAAATACGGCAAAAGCGAGTCCATTTTGAAGAAGTGGTGTTAGAAGAAGTTTAAGTTTAAAAAAAATGGCTCTCAAATTTCAATTGTTCTACTGTTGATATTTGGCTCTGTTGACTGAGTTTGCCGACCACTGTCCTAGCAGACTGCTTTCAGACCACCTTTGCATATACTTCCTTCCAAAGAGCAACGTATGGAGAGGGAGGGGAAGAAAAGAGGAACTTTACAGGGCGCACCTGGCAAACACTATCGCAGGCATGTGATGAAGTTTAATGTCACCAGTGATAATCATCAGTGATAAGTTATATACCGTGTTTCCCCGAAAATAAGACCTAGTGCAACTTTGGGAGAAAAAATTAATATAAGACACTGTCTTATTTTTGGGGAAACAGGGTAGATTACACATCTCCTGGACCTCCAGGCTGGTGGCTTGCATTGTAGACTTGGATTTGCCAGCTTTAATAATTGTGTGAGCCAATTTCTTATAATAATTCTTTTCACACATCTGCATCCAATTGGTTCTGTTTCATTCGAAACCCTGACTGGTACATCTGGAGTGGGCTGAGATCCTGACAATTTCACCGGTGACCACACTTTGAATAGTTAGGTTTATAGAGGACTTGGACCAAGGAATAAAGATTTCAAGAGATTTGAAACATTTCAAACTAGGGAAGTTCCTTTTTCAAAAATACACTTTTTATTTAAAAGTTTTAGGTTTACAGAAATGTTGCAGAAATAGTATAGAGAATTCTCATACTCTGCCTAGTCTGACCTGATATGCTCTTACATTGATTTTGGTCATAACTTATGACCAAAATAGTTAGCATATGTTGATAGATTATTAACTGAAGTTCATGCTTTAGTCAGATTTTTAAAAAATATATATTTTATTGATTTTGTACAGAGAGGAAGGGAGAGAGATAGAGAGAAACATCGATGAGAGAGAAAGTCATGGATCAGCTGCCTCTTGCATACCCCCTACCGGGGATATGCCCGCAACCAAGGTACATGCCCTTGATCGGAATCGAACCCAGGACCCTTCAGTCCCCAAGCCGATGCTCTATCCATTGAGCCAAACCGGTTTCAGTTAGTAAGATTTTTTTTAATTTTCACTTTTATTTTTGTTCTAGGATCCCATTCAGGATGTTACATTACACTTAGCACCTGTGTCTTCTCGGGCTCCTCTGTGATAATTTCTCAGACTTCCCTATTTTGTTGACCTTGACAATTTTGTACCATACTGGTAGGTTTTGTAGAAAATTTCTCAATTTGGGTTTGTTTGATTTTTTATTATTATAATTATACTGGGGTTATGTGTTTTGAGGGAAGGAAGACTACAGAGGTAGTGTCATTCTCATTATATAACTGCAGGAAATGTACAGTCCATATGATATCACTGATGATTATCACTGGTGACATTAAACTTCATCACAGGCCTGAGATAGTGTTTACCAGGTATTCCATCCTGTGAAGTTACTCTTTTCTTCCCCTCCCTTTCCATAATTTTCTCTTTGGAAGGAAGTATGTGCTGCCTCTACTTAAGGGGTAGGGAGTTATGATCTACCTCTCTGAGGGGCAGAATTCTTTTGTATGGGAGATTTGTCTATTTCCCTCTATTTATTTATTTATTTATTTATTCAATCATTTATTAATATTGGTATGGACTCATGGTTATTTATCCTATATTTTGGTTATTATCCAACATGACACTATTTATTTTCTTGCTCAACTTGTTCCAGTTAGGTGATGGGGAGCTCTTGTAGTTGACTTCTGTGCCCCTTATATATGCCCCTATCGTGTTTTTTGAGCACTACCATACTATCCTACATTATAAAAGCCTAATGTGCTAAGTGTCTGATTGACCAGTCAGTCATTAAATCAATCAAATAATAATATGCTAAGGCCACTCAACTGCTCACTATGATGTGCAAAAAGACCCACTGGAAGGCCAATGGACCTTGACATTCAGAAAGGCTGAAAATCACCATAACATTGCCCTGCTATTGACCATCTGGGTCAAGGCAATCCCCTAACCTGATAATCCTTTTACTTTTTACAAACTTTACTTTTCATGTGCCTGTATGCATTCCAAAGAGCAAATATGTATTCAAGTGAATAAAAGCAGATGGGACCGAGAGGACAGAGAGCTTCTCCACTAGAGGACAATTTCTGCCTGGCCCCCCCCATGCCTTCTAAATTCATATTTATTGTCTAGTGTTTTCATTTGTGCGTAGCACCTTCTTCAGATCCTGAACCCTAGCTATAAGTGGTTGCGGCAACATATATTTTAGTTATTGTTTCTAATTAATTACTTCCTGTAGTTTTATAAGCACCTTTTAGTTCAAACATAAGACCTGCTTAGAAGCCTGCAATTTAAAGTAAGTCAGAGTCCTTTCCATGTTTTTTTTCTAAAGACTTAAATGCACCAAAGTAAGGCAATGACTGTCCAATGACAAATTTCAATAGTGGCATGGTTATAGATTTATTTAAAATGCAATTGATAAAATCTTTGCTTTATAATATTCTGAGGCAACAACCTTCTAGTACAACAATTTGTGTATATAACATGTGGCATGTGGCTTATTGCAGACAGTGCATTAAAACATTAAAAACAGCCGGGACCGGTTTGGCTCAGTGGATAGAGTGTCGGCCTGCAGACTGAAAGGTCCCGGGTTCGATTCCGATCAAGGGCATGTACCTTGGTTGCAGGCACATCCCCAGTGGGAGGTGTGCAAGAGGCAGCTTGTTGATGTTTCTCTCTCATCAACGTTTCTAACTCTCTGTCCCTCTCAATTCCTCTCTGTGTAAAATCAATAAAATGTATTTAAAAAGTACACTAAAAACAATTTATAAGCCTTAATAAAAGAAATGTAAAACCTCCAGAATGTCACTGGCAGATACAGAGAATTATCATTCTTGCCCTGACTGGAAGTTTTCTGTTTGAACTTGGCTTTGAATCTGTGTGTGTGTGTTTGTGTGTGTGTGTGTGTTTTCCTGCAGCAGACTGAAATTTCTATAACATTCAAACAGAACATTGCTATTAATTTTTGTTTGGCAGAGTTTCCTCATGCAATCTCAAGTATATTGGATTGGTCTAATTCAGTTAAGAAATATTTATTTTTAGGAGAAAGAGAATAAATCTTTGTGTCACCTCGGGGCCCTCGGGGTGTCACAAAGCTATTTTTTCAGTTAAATCCTTGAAGTATCACATTCAGAAAAGCTGTCAAATATACCCAATTTAAAGATTATTAAAACTTAAACCAGTTTTAATATTAAATATTTGGTCTTGATTACAGAATTAATTATTTTCAATTTTGCCATTACATTTTTATATCTTAGGCAAAAATGCCGAGACAAGGAAATAGATCACAAACAAGAGTACTGATTGGAGGAGAATCCAAGATGGCGGAGTGGGTGAGAAGCTGGTGTGCCACTCCCACAACAATTTGAAGATTGAAACTAGTATATGAGGGACATCTATCAACCAGGACCACCGGAGGGAGATACTGAGTAGTTGATAATCAGCAGTTAACGTGATGGTGGGAGCAGTGAGGGACCGATGGGACTCTTGGAATGTGACCAACTGGAGAAATGGAAGAATGGTGGGCCCGGAGGGGCCAGGCCCGGAGCAGCAGCAGCCAGGCCCAGAGCAGCCAGGCCCGGAGCAGCCAGGCCCGGAGAAGCAACAGCCGGTCCCAGAGTGGCAGCAGCCAGGCCCAGAGCATCCAGGCCCGGAGCAGCCAGGCCCAGAGCGGCAGCAGCCAGGTCCAGAGCAGCCAGGCCCAGAGCAGCCAGGCCCAGAGCAGCGAGGCCCAGAGCAGCAGCAGCCAGTCCCAGAGCAACCAGGCCCGGAGCAGCAGCAGCCAGGCCCAGAACAACAGCAGCCAGGCCCAGATCAGCCAGGCCCAGAGCAGCAGCAGCCAGGCCCAGAGTAGCCAGGCCCGGAGCAGCAGCAGCCAGGCTCAGAGCAGCCAGGCCCAGAGCAGCCAGGCCCGGAGTAGCAGCAGCCAGGCCCAGAGCAGCCAGGCCCGGAGCAGCCAGGCCCGGAGAAGCAGCAGCCATGCCCGGAGCAGCCATGCCCGGAGCAGCCATGCCCGGAGCAGCCAGGCCCGGAGTAGCAGCAGCCAGGCCCGGAGTAGCAGCAGCCAGGCCCGGAACAGCCAGGCCTGGAACAGCCAGGCCCGGAGCAGCCAGGCCCGGAGAAGCAGCAGCCATGCCCGAAGCAGCCAGGCCCGGAGAAGCAGCAGCCATGCCCGGAGCATCCAGGCCCGGAGCAGCCAGGCCCAGAGTAGCAGCAGCCAGGTCCAGAGTAGCCAGGGCAAGAGCAGCCAGGCCCGGAGCAGCAAGGCCCGGAGTAGCAGCAGCCAGGCCCAGAGCAGCCAGGGCAAGAGCAGCCAGCCCCGGAGCAGCAGCAGCCAGGCCCGGAGTGGCCAGGCCCAGACCAGCAGCAACCAAGCCCAGAGAAGCCAGGCCCAGAGCAGCCAGGCCCAGAGCAGCCAGGCCTGGAGCAGCAGCGGTTGGGCCCGGAGCAGCAGCAGCCAGGCCTGGAGTAGCCAGGCCCAGAGCAGCCAGGCCTGGAGTAGCAGCAGTTGGGCCCGGAGCAGCAGCAGCTGGGCCCAGAGCAGCCAGGCCCATAGCAGCCAGGCCCGGAGCAGCAGCCAGGCCCGGAGCAGCCAGGCCCGGAGCAGCTAGGCCCAAAGCAGCAGCAGCCAGGCCCAGAGCATCCAGGCCCAAAGCAGCAGCAGCCAGGCCTGGAGCAGCCAGGCCCAGAGCAACCAGGCTTGGAGCAGCCAGGCCCAGAGCAACCAGGCTTGGAGCAGCCAGACCCAGAGCAGCCAGGCCCGGAGCAGCCAGGCCCACAGCAGCAGCAGCCAGGCCCGGAGCAGCAGCAGCCAGGCCTGGAGCACCCAGGCCCAGAGCAGCAGCAGCCAGGCCTGGAGCACCCGGGCCCAGAGCAGCCAGGCCCAAAGCAGCAGCCAGGCCCAGAGCAGCAGCAGCCAAGCCCAGAGCAGTAGCAGCCAGACTTGAAGCAGCCAGGCCTGGAGCAGCAGCGGCCAGGCCCGGAGCATCCAGGCCTGGAACAGCAGGAACCAGGCCTGGAGCAGCAGCATCCAGGCCCGGAGCAGCAGCAACCAGGCTCAGAGCAGCAGCTGCCAGGCTCAGAGCAGCAGCAGCCAGGCCCGGAGCATCCAGGCCTGGAGTAGCCAGGCCCGAAGCAGCAACAGCCAGGCTCAGAGCAGCAGCAACCAGGTCCGGAGCATCCAGGCCCGGAGCAGCATCCAGGCCCAGAGCAGCCAGGCCTGGAGTGTTGTAGCTTCGAACCCTGGGTTCAAAATGAAAGGAAAGAAGGAGCAATGCAGCCAATTCGGGTACAAAAGTGTTAGGTCCGTCATCACAATGGCCTCAGAGAAGCTCCTGTGTCCCTTCACCCAAAAAGACTGAGAGTTGCCCAGACGACAGCAAAGTGGGAGAAGAAAACTGAAGGCTACGCAAGGGACTGAGGTGCCAACATGGAGTCATCTGAAGAAATTAAAGACTGAAATGGAAGCTACTTCTTTAATCATGTTCCTGCTCATGCTAGCATCTGTTAGCTTCCAGTCTTCTGCAAAGTCTTGTGCAGCAAATCCAAGGACTCTGAGTAAATCTACACCAGCAACAAAAGAGACTCATTTAGTAGCTAAAAATAATAATATGTCCATAATTCTGATTTCTCATTTTGTTGCTTTGCATTGGCATTATTGTTATTATTTGATAGCCAGAGTTTTGCTCTTGACATTCAAGTTTTGAAAATAACATGTATGAAATGCAATTGCTACTCACATGAGAACCGAAAGGGCCATGTTCCTAGTCCACACTGCCTCGTGCCCTCTCCGTGGAAGAGCCCGTACTGCATCTCCCCCATGAACTTGTCTAGCTCTTGCCCCGAGGCGTTGACTAGCAGAGCCCCTGTTTTGCAGAGGAAGGTGGCTTTGATCCACAGCGGTGTCCCCAGGGCTGTCACAACTCCAAGGGCACACTCAAAGCTTAATACTCCCGCCATGCAAAAAATGACTTTCTTCTGTTGGCTTGGCATAATGAGAAGTGGATTTTGTGAGGGTGAAGTTTAAAAATAAGACCTTTTGAGTGATGAGAAGCTACTGGCCTGTCCTTCTGACTGCATTGATTGTAGAAACTGAACAGACGGAGCACAGCCGAAGAGCAGCTTTGTGGCAGGGGGCTGCGGCCAGGTGAAATGTCTGCAGAACGCCATAGAAGGCTTCTTCAGCACACACTTGTCCTTTCTCCCTTTTTGCTTCTAATTCTCTCTAATTTAAAATCTTTGGACTAAGAATCTGTAAAATAAAACTCTTTCAAACTGCAAAAAAGAAAAAGAAAGAAAATAACATGTATGTGGTTTAGTTTTTGCATTGGCATTGTTTGCAATTGTTTTAAATTTTAGAGCCCTATTATTGATGTTTAAATTTTATTTTAATTAGTAAAAAAGGGTGAGATGTAGAGAGCCGCCTGAGAAGGCACATGGACATTCTTTTAATTCTTATCAGCTGAGACCAAGGGTACTGGCAGAATCCTCTTATCAGTACTGATTTCTTAATCCATGTGCTTGGAATGAAGAACAAATAGGACCTGGACTCACCCACGTCTTGATATGCTAAATCTTGTACCAAAAAATAAGGAGCTTACCCAGATTTTGATGAATACGATCTGGGTACACCCGAAACTCTTTTTGACCTTAAACTCCCCTTTGGAAGCCAATAAAAAAACAAACAAAACAAACAAACAAACAAACAAAACCAACAAGGGAATTAAAAAACCTGATGAACAATATTAACTGTTGAATATAATAGAATCAGAGGTATGGAAGGGAGTGGACTGATAATTCTCAGGGAAAAGAGGAGTGGGGGGTGTGGGAAGAGAATGAACACAAACTGTGCACCTATGGATGAGGACAAGTGGGGGTGGAGAAAGGGCAGAGGATGGGGTAGGAACCTGGTGGAGGGGGAAAAAAATGAGGAACTTTTGTAATAATATGAACAATAAAGGTTTATTTAAAATATTAAATAAAATGAAATTTTTTTAATAGTAATATCACAGATACGATATACTTTTTAAAAATTGATTATGGTATCACATAATTGTCCTCATCCCCTCATTCCCACCCAAAACCCTTCCCATGTACGCCCCCACCCCCTTGTCTGTAAGCTTATATGCATGCATACAAGGCCTTTGGTTGATCTCTTCCCCTTTCTCCCACTCTCCCCTACCTTCCCTCTGAGCTTTGACAGTCTGATCAATGCTTCCTTGTCTCTGGGTCTATCTTTGTTCATCAGTTTATTTTGTTCATTATTTCCCCTAGATTCGTAAGATCATATGATACAAGAAATACACTTATAAGAACCAAAAATGAGACCAGCCATAATTGTTATGCTGAGAGGCAAATGAATCAATCGGTAGTGAGTTTCTTTCTGGGCCACCAGTTCTTTTTTTTTTCCCCCTCCCGCTTTTCCAAACTTTATTAAAGAAAAAGCAATGATGGAAATCTCTACAACATAGTCAATTTCTGGGATTCTTCCCTTGAAAATATGATGTGTGATTCTGAAACACATACCATGGTGTGTATGGTTCCCAACTGTACTAAATAGGTGAGAGGCTAAAATCCTAAAAGATTCATCTTCCAACTTTCCCCAGTCTGTGGTCTGTCTTTGGATCAGCAATAATTGCCTGAATAGCTACTATGGCTTCATTAATTTTTGTCTGTAGCTCTCTGAGCTCTTCTATATGCAGCAATCAAAGAATTTGAGCAGCTTCATTAAGAACTGCATATCCTGTGTCAAAATCAAGAATATGCTTGTCTAAAGCAACAGGCAACCCCTCTTTTGCTTGATTTGCTTTAGCAACTGCATCCTGTGTCAGGCGTTCCTGGACCAAAATGCAAATTGCCTGAAGCATTACCAGGTAATCATCATGACGTTGAATCTGAAGAAGGTTAGCCAAAGCCATTACACCAGCCTTAAAATCAGGATTATTAACATCCAAATTGATCAATGGCTCTGCATTTTTTGCTGCATTGTCAGCATTTTTTGTATTATCAGATACTGAGTCCTTATATTTTTCAGCGTTATCTCCATATTCAAGTCTAATGGCTAAACCAAGAAGCCAGTCAACTGCTTCTTGTCAATCTTGAATCTTGAAAGGACAGCTAACATCTGTAAGATACTTTTCAAAGAACTTGGGCCAGTCATTGCTGTGGATGTTTCTTAAATTACCTCTGTCTTCAATCTTGTAGTGTCTGATTTTCTGGTCTTCAAGCCAAACAATAAAGTTTCTAAATTCTGTTTCATCTTTGCAGTTGAAGCCAGCGGGGTTGTGGTAGTCGAGCGCTGTCAGCTTGCGGTGGAACATGGTCGTCCCGCTCTGCGGCTGGTAGAGGAGCGAGAGGCGAGCCCATCAGTTCTTTTGAGTCCTAATTTCAATGTCAAACAGTTTTTTATATTTTATTATTTTTTTATTTTATTTTATTGATTTTGTACAGAGAGAAAGGAAGAGAGATAGAGAGTTAGAAACATTGATGAGAGAGAGTCATCGATCAGCTGCCTCTTGCACACCCCCCACTGGGGATATGCCCGCAACCAAGGTACATGCCCTTGACCGGAATCGAACCCGGGACCTTTCAGTCCCCAAGCCGACGCTCTATCCATTGAGCCAAACCGGTTCCGGCTCAAACAGTTTTTTATATGTACATGTCAGCAATGATATTTCAGTTCTGGATGGTGGGCAAAGATACAATATACTTTGAATGTCACAGAGAAAACGCAGGGAAGACAAGCCTACCGTCTGCCCATACCCTAGCTGCCGTGCCCCCAAGGGCACACAAGTGGTTGCTCCTTAGCCAGCCTCAGTTCCACTTCGGCCAGTCTGCTAGGGTTTTTGATATCAGAGGCAGGCGAGGTCCACCTGGTCCCTGGTTCCTATTAATATCTAAGCTGCCTACCGGATGTTTAATGGATGCGATGCTGGACAGGGCTTTGTAATTTTCCCCACTCTGCTTCTTTGCTAAGCACCTGCACAGGTTTGGCCAGTGCTGCCTCTTACTCTGCTGTTTTTGGAACCAAAAGCCACTGTCTGAGTAAAACATCGATCAGCTGCCTCTTGCCCACCCCCTACTGGGGATATGCCCGCAACCAAGGTACATGCCCTTGACCGAAATCGAACCCGGGACCCTTCAGTCCCCAAGCCGACGCTCTATCCATTGAGCCAAACCGGTTTCGGCAAATTTTACACTTTCAAATTAGCCTTAGAATCTTAAAATCCTAACCCAGCACAGTAAAATAACCTTTGGTTCTGAGTGGCACAAAGCCTACACAGAGCAGAGACAGAGGGCTTTCTATGTTCATAAAAACTGTGAAGAGCAAAATAAGCTAGCAAAGCAAGCAATAACCAAGGCACATTGCAGACAAAAAGACTCTCAAGAGCCGAAACCGGTTTGGCTCAATGGATAGAGTGTCGGCCTGCGGACTGAGGGGTCCCGGATTCGATTTTGGTCAGGGGCATGTGCCTTGGTTGCAGGCGCATCCCCAGTGGGGTTGTGCAGGAGGCAGCTGGTCAATGTTTCTCTCTCACTGATGTTTCTAGCTCTCTATCCCTCTCCCTTCCTCTCTATAAAAAAAAATCAATAAAATATATTTTTTAAAAAGACTCTCAAGATTCAAACCCTGCCACATGTTTAGCCACATGTCTACCCTGTCCACAAGCAGCTGGGCCCCAGCAAAGTGGGACGTTCCCTGTCTTTAAACAGATTGATCCAAACATCAACAGGAAACATCAATAGAAACACTCTTATTTATGATATTTATAAGTGTGCACAATCCACGGACACTCCAGAAAGCACTCCATTAAAAAAACGATGTCTCTTGTCCCAGCTCTGGGGGACTGACCCTCCCAGGAACCTCAGTATTCTTTCAATGGCCTATTTTGGCCATGTGGCTTGTCTTGTATATATTCCCTTCACATCATTTTCACCATTTTCTAAAGAAAGACCATCTGGGAACTATTCTATAGCATCCATGAAGAGTAGGGGCTCAGGCAAAGAGGCCCCCCAAAATCAGGTTGGGCACCTCCCTTTGAACTAGACTTTCCCTCCATACGGTTACAGAAGTCCCAGAAGTGTCCCTAAATTGTGAGAAATGTCTCATCTGCCCAAATTTCAAATGACGAACTGGGAAATGAAAACATGGTGAAAATGAGGCTTTTAAGAACACTCCCGAGAGTATGTGACCATTTTACAGAATCACAATGAAGACTAGAGGCAAGTTACCTAGTCACTAATGGGCTAACTGAACAGCTGTGTCTGCCTGTAACGCTGAATTCTCTGAAAGGCTAAAACCTCTACAGGGGTGGTGGCGAAGGGCTGTGATTCACTCCTGTTATGCCTGATGGGAAGACTTAGGCCATGCTCGTATGCCAGAAGAGGAAAAGTTAGCTGGCACTCCCTTTCTTAACTCTTGCCTAGAAGTTTCTCCTTAGGACTCTTACTATAAAGGCCTGCACAAATGGAGACTGAGGAGGTAAGCTTAGTGGGACCTGGAACGTGGAGGCAGAGGTCTTGGCTGGATACTATTAGACCTGACTGGGATAGAAATCAGAAGAAAAGGCAGATGATTCTCCAATTAAACCCTGCTTGGGAATGGGGCAGGGGAGTGGACATATGTAGTGGGTCAGAAATGTGCTGGGGTTTTTTTTGGGCGGGGGGGATGGGGGGGGCGGGTACCGTGTCTCAGTTTCTCTCCTAGCTGTCTAAGACATCCGGGAGGACCTGGAATGCTGGGTGACAACCTTACTTGCATCCCTGGACAGGTCAGAATTTAATTACATGTGTTGTTTCTGCGAGGCCCCTACACGTCTTTTAGAGTTCAACAACCCAGACATCCCTGCGAGGTCCCGAGGTCCTGCACTCACGGAAGGACATTTGAAACTCTCGAACCAGGGGTAGAGGAATTTGCCTCTTTCATCTTTGGAGCTGGGCAGGGACCCAAGCACTCCTTTAGTCAATGGCCGAGCTTTGACTTGCGACTGGCC